ACCAGCTCCTTTCACTGCTCCACATCAACCAAGCCCTGCTGCAAGCCTCAGTTTCCCCAGGCATAAAATGGGAGGAATGGAGAACTGCAGGTGCTTCCTGCCCTGACTTTCCCTACCTCGGATTTCTTGATTCTGAGATGGTCTGAAGCTCTCTGCTGGTGACCTGTGGTACTGAGCATGGCTTCCTAGCACCACCAAGTAGGCCACTTGATAGAAAATGCTTAGGCCAAGCTCTTGGCTGACTGGGTGACGGTTATAAGTGAGCAAGCATGGTGTCCTGCCCTCTCTCAACTGCTCCAGTTTCCATTCTGTATTAGCTTTCCATTGCCGTTTAGCAAAACACCACACACTGAGTGACTCAAACTACACTCGTTTATTAGCCCACAGTTCTAAAGGTCAGAAGCCCGGCATGGCAGGCTGGCTTCCCTGCTCAGGGCATCCAAAGGCTGAAACGAGCCGAGTCCTCATCTGGAAACTGAAGCAGAGCCCTTTCTCACGCTCATTCGGGTCGGTGACAGAATCCAGTTCCTGGGTGTAGGACCCATTTCCGTGCCGGTTGCCGGCCAGGAGCCTTCATTCCTAACCAGTGATGGTGTGTCACAGCCTCCTGATGTCCTCTTCGGCCACCAGCTGGAGGACACGCCACTGTGAAAAGGCTCACCTGGTGGGGCCAGGCCCACCAAAATGGTCTCCTTATTTTAAGATCAACCGGAAAGCACATGTCTAAATCTTCAGAGCAACCACGTTACACACACTCAATATCATCACAGATGGAACAACCTAATGTAGCAAATGCTGCCAGTCCCCCCAATATCCTTCTCCCCTCTCCAGGGGGCTACCTGCAGCTTTAATGGGCACTCCCTGTAGGACACTCCCTGTGGGACACACAGTTCATGGCATCCCTGAGGGGCAGGTCCAAGTATGGGGGAGTTAGTGTTTCCAGGGAACAGCCCTTAACTGGTGGGGTGAGGGTTGGTGGATAAGCACCCCAGTTTCCTCATCCACGGGAGGCATGTTCTACACCAGCTCTCAGAGTCCCTTGTGGGTGGAACCCCAGTTGCCCACAGAAGTAATCTACTTTGCCTCCCTCTCCAACTCACTTATTCCCTCCCTCACCAGTGAAATGGCACTGCTCCTGGAAGATTCCAAACCAAGGTGGGAGGGTGCAGAGAGCTGGAAGACTCTCAAAGGTCATATAAACAGGGAGACAGGCTGGTGATTTGATCCCAGGCAGTCTGACACCGGATCCCACACTCAAACCCCAAACTCTGCTGCCTCTCACGCACCCCCCATGGGAGGAGGGGGACTCTTCGGCCCACGTGTCTGCCCCGTGAGCTGACCCGGAGCACAAAACCTCTTCTCTGGGTTCCGATGGTTATATCAAGAGGCTCAGCGGGCCTGTCTCTTCGAGGCCTGGAACAGACCCAACCTGGTGTGGCCAGAGCTGTCCCTTGGCACCAGTGTCTACTTCCTGGCTAGAGGGAAGCCAGCACTGCCAGCCAGTGCCTTGAAGGGCACTCATCTTCAACCTCAGAAGACACGCTGGGATCTGGAGCCTGGAGAGGCTGGGGGTGGCCAGGATCTGGGGGAAAACTCACTGAATTGACTTAGCTAAGTGTGCCAGGCACTATTCTTTTATTTATTTATTTATTTATTTATTTACTTATTTATTTTTATTTTATTTTATTGATTTTTTATAGAGAGCTAGGAACATCGACTAGAGAGATACATCGACCAGCTGCCTCCTACACAACCCCACCGGGGATGTGCCCGCAACCAATGTACATGCCCTTGACCGGAATCGAACCTGGGACCTTTCAGTCCGCAGACCAACACTCTACCACTGAGCCAAACCAGCTTCGGCTGCCAGGCACTATTCTAAGTGTTGTCTGTGTTATGTGTATGTCTGTATAACACATGTATATTCCTCACAACAGCTCTTCGAGACATGCATAATTAGTATTCCCGTTGTATAGGCGAGGAAACTGAGAAACAGAGAGGGTAAGTCACTAGCCAGGCTCACATAGCTGGTTGGTCTCACAGGCTAAGATTCAAGCTCGGGCCAAAACCAGTTTGGCTCAGTGGATAGAGTGTCGGTCTGTGAACTGAAGGGTCCCAGGTTCAATTCCGGTCAAGGGCATGTACATTGGTTGTGGGCACATCCCCAGTAGGGGGTGTCCAGGAGGCAGCTGGTCGATATTTCTCTCTCATTGATGTTTCTAGTTCTCTATCCCTCTCTCTTCCTCTCTGTGGAAAATCAATAAAATATTTTTTTTTTTTAAAGAAAAAAGATTCAAGCTCGGGTAGTCTGCTCTTAATCAATCCTGCCTTTCCTGAACATTCAGGGGAGTCTGTGGCCAGTTGCTCACCCTGAGCTCCACCGTTAAGTGCCAGTTCTTCAGGGTGACAGACATGAACTTCTGAACAATGCCCAACTTTGGTGGAACCCCACTTGGAGGGAGGAGCTGGCAGGGGAAGGCCCCCAGGACCAAGAAGCAGGAGGCCAGAAGGAGGGACAGTGATCTCTGGAAAACAACACCCTTTCCTTCCCCCCCACCCCCCCTCCACCCCAGCTCCCCTCTGCCTTCTTCTCAGCACAGCCATTCGACCTCAGTGCATTTATTTATTTCCAGCCTCGCTCCCACAGAAATCCGGGGGATAGATGCACAGCGTCTCCAGCAAAGAAACTCTGATAAATCATGCCTGGCTTACTGCCTTACTGGCCTTGTAACTGATGTGATAGTATCAGTGTTTCCCAAAGTGTGGTACGCATACCCCCTGGGGTATGGGAAGAGTTTGGTGGGGTGCGCGTTGCACCGGAGTTTGGTGGGGATATGCACTGCACTGTGTTTAGCTGCGCCTAATTCTACGTTCTCATGAGTACGAGGGGTACTCAGCGTTACGAAAATTATAGAAGGGGTGCACATATGTCAAAAGTTTGGGAAACACTGATTGCACAGGGACTGACCAACCCCTCCTGGTTTTCTTCGAACCTCCCCAGTTCTAACGCGGAAAGGTTTCTTATTCTAAGACCCTCAGAGACGGGCAATAGGGGCAGCTGGTCACCTGCATCACACAGGCCACAGGCAGAAGACTAACCGTGCAGCTCAGAGCTTCCTAACAGCCAAGGCAAAGAGGGAAACGCCACCTGTTTGAGATAATAGTGCTATGCGATAGAACTTTCCACAAGGATGGAAACGTTTGGCACTGCCCGATGTGATAGCTACCAAGTGCGTGTCTCTACGGAGCACCGGAAATGTGCCTAGTGGGACGGCGGAACTGGATTTCCAATTTCATCTCCTCTGAACCTGTCTGAACTAGTCGCATGTGGCTAGTGGGGGGCTGCACTAAGCAGCGCGGTTGGATGAAAATGAACGTGGGGGTCAGGAAAAGCCTCTTTCTTAATACGGAGGCCTGAGAACGTCTAGCAGGGGTTGTCGCACTTGAGGTGAATACAAACGTGGTTTCCACGGGTGTTTTTCTCTTTTTTAAATTACAGTTCACAGTCAATATTGCTGTTTCAGCATCGTGGTTAGACAATCAGGTACTTTACAGAGCGGTCCCCGGCATTTCCAGCACCCGCTCTCTTTTCTCACATGGGTGACAACAGCAGCCTTTTCTATAGCGTGCGTGCTAAGCACGCTCCTAAAACCTTTTCTTAATTCATTCAATTCTCAAAACCACCAGAGCAGGCAGGCACCTTGGGCACCCCCAGGGCAGAGGCTTCGGGACACACCGAAGGTTCCTCTTGCTCTGGCCTCGAAGGGACTTACATTTTCCTGGCCTTCCTGGGGAGAGCCCGGGGCCTGGGGAGCAGGCAGGATGGCGGAAAACAGCAGGGGAAACAGGAAGGGGCAGTGGACCTGGGAGAGGGTTTCCTGGCTGCCCCTCTCTCCACCCACAGGCCAATGCGACACGAGGTTGACTCAGTGGAAAAAGTGAGCAGGGCCTGGTATCACTCCCTGGCACCGGAGGGCACTGGGGATGTCCGAAGGAAGGCCCCGCTCTGCCAGGCGGCAGAAGGCACCTGCACAGCCTCGGACATGCAGCCTGGGCAAAATGCCACCTCTGCCTGCGCTCTGTGTGGTCCCCTCACTACACTGGCCCCTACGTGACCTAAATGCCAGGGTCTCTCCTAAGCTCCTCAGGCTCTACCTGGGCAGCAAAGAAGGGGCCACTGGGACCCACCCCTTCCTCTGTGACCAGAAGCTGATGACTCCAGGGTCAGAAATAACCCCACAGTCAGCTCCCCCCTGCCACCTTCCCCTCCCCTTCATTCCCTGAAAACCTGGGCCCTGAGTCAGAGGGAGAGCCCAAAGGCAAACAAGGACCCAGATAAGCTGCCATGAAAACCACAGAACCCGTCTGTGGAAATTCTTTGATAAATCAGGGACCTCAAAAAGAGCCGAGGCCTGGAAATTCAGACGCCTCTTCCCAGAATCCAGCTGTGCTCAGGGCTGTGCAGACCTGAGCCGTGGGGCCTGGGGAGGAATGGACACAGAGAGGAATCTTTAGTGCAGAGGGAATGGGGAGAAGGGAAAAGAGGAAGAGGGGCCAGGCCTGCCCTGGAGCTTCCAGTCTCCAGGCACCCGACAGACACCCATCAGGAATAGTCAGAGGTCAGTCTACAGTAGGGAGGTGGGGGGCTGATGGGGCTAGGAGGCAGAGCCATCCAGGTGTCACTGCCCCCACCCCTTATTCATTTTCTCAAAATAGTCTGGGACACAGGCACCCTACCCCGCGGCTGAGTCATGGAGCCCCGTCCTCAGATCAGACTTGGATGAATGAAGCTGTGCCCTCACTGCTCCTCCCCGCCTCCCCCCATCCCCCCACCACCTTCCAGAAAGGACATGTAACCGATTCCCCAGGATGGAAGAGTGACTTCCACAAGCCCTAAAAATAACTGAACCACTTCATACTCCGAACTTAGCCTCTCCCGCCCGCTCCCCTCCACCCTCCCACCCCCACCCCAGCCAGCAAGATAAAGGCAGCTGCTGGGCCTGGCAGGGGACAGAGACCCGGAGCCAGGGCAGCGAGAAGGCACCTCACAGATTCAGCCGAGTAGAACCAGCCCCGAGCTAGAAGGTTGAGAGGAAGGACAGACCCTTGGGCCGCACCTGCACAGACCCCAAGCACCCACCAGCCAAGTGGGACCAGCGGGTGAGTACAGAGGCGGGGTCTTTCAGGGCAAGGCTGGCTAGCCAGCTGGGGTCTCCTTTGGACCCTTGGGATGGCTCTCAGGACAGCAGGCATTCGGGGTGGCAGAAAGAGGTTGAGCCCTAACCAGTTTATCTCAGTGGATAGAGCGTCGGCCTGCAGACTGAAGTGTCCCAGGTTCGATTCCAGTCAAGGGCATGTACCTTGGTTGCGGGCACATCCAGAGTAAGGGGTGTGCAGGAGGCGGCTGATGGATGTTTCTCTCCCACCAATGTTTCTAGCTCTCTATCCCTCTCCCTTCCTCTCTGTAAAAAAATCAATAAAATATATTTTTAAAAAAGAAAGGAAAAAAAAGAAAGAAAGAAAGAGGTCGAGGGGCCGTACATCTGGATGTAAGAGAGTGGAGGGATCTCTGAAGATTTAAGGGAGATTTGACGTGAGCCCCATGGGAGCTCTCAGAGCGGCGGCCACAGGCCTGGGCCAACAAAAGGGACAGGTTCTTACCAGTCGGATACAAATCCAGAAAGGCATCCAGGAGGAAGTGGCCTGTAGTTGCACTCTTTAAAATACAAGTATGGAGCCCCCTGGGCTTCAGGGCTTCCTCCCAGGAAGGCCCCGTGAGGGAAGGAAAGAGGGAGAGGGGAGGTGGTGGGAGGGCACACGGGTGGAGGGTGGGAAGCGGGTCCGCATTGCTAGACAAGTCCGGTGCCCAGTTGTTGTGGGTGAAAGTCCTGGCATATCTGGCCCCAGGAGTGTCCCCAGGGCTGGCCTGTGCCCAGCTCCCCACATAGCAAGACCTAGACTCTGCCCCAGGCCATCATCCCGCCCAGGGGGAACACCCTGGGGGAAGGCAGATCTGGGGAGGGGCACAGGGTGGGGGACAAGGTCTGAGTCTGCCAGAAGTGGAGACTTGCAGAGGGACTGGGCCAAGGAGGGGCACACTGGGAACAGAGGTGGGGTCACCCTGAGGGGCTGGCCAGCCCCAGGAGGCCAAGCTCTGGGACACTGCTTGGGGCTCAGCCCGCACACCAAATCTGGTCCCAGTTCTGAATTCTGCCCTCCCCAACCCCCATCCCCGCCTTCTAGAAACTTAAGCTCCAGGAAGGGGCAGGCGTGGGGAAGCCAAGCGTTCGGAAACCTGCTTCGACTGCTTTGCGGAGCCTACCGGGGCAGCACCTTTCCCCTCTTTGGGCCTCAGTTTCCCTGTCTGAACCCACAATAGCTGGACACAGAGCTTGTCCTCAGCTTCAGTGACCTCTGGGAGTCCTCGGGGCTGACGTCCCTGGACTCCAGGACTCTGTCTGGGGCCATAGCAGGGATTCTGGAGATTCCTGGGGGTGGGGGAGGGGTGGAGTTGCTGGCCTTGCACAAGCCATCTGCTCAGGCCACACTGGTGGTGACAGGATGGAGAAGGGGTGGGGACAGGCATGGTTTGCCTTTGGCAGGGGGTCCTCATTAGAACTCAGAGACCCCAGAACGTGTGATGAGACTCACGTGGCAGGTATCAGAGTTCGAATCCCTCAGGGTTCTGATGACTTTGGTGGACAGGATGGGGTAAGGGGAGAGGGTGACAAGTAGACCTCAGTTCCCCGCTCAGATAGCTATATCCAGGAGCCTCTGCCTTGGGGATGCCCAAAAGTGCCCGCCTGCTCTAGTGGTTTTGAGAATTGAAACCCTTCCCCCACCTGTGGCCACTGTCCCTGACCCTCCAATCAGCCCCATGCCCCTTTGTCCATGAAGGGTTTCTGGCCCCAGCACCGGCCATCCTGCAGGCCAGGGGCCTGGCTAGGTTAAGGTAGGAATCTATGCTACCAGGAAGGAAAGTTGCTGTCGCTTTGGAACCTGTACAAAGCTTTACCCCATGGCATTGCCTTCCTTCCCCAGGAGCCAGCCCTTCTTCCCTTTAAAACTTTTATCAAAATGCAAAAACACTGCACTGTAATTACTTGTTACATGTCTGTTTCCACTAGCTAAGGGGGTAGGGATCCCAGGGGAGATAAGGAGATGAGATGGGCCCAGGCCCCCAGGGTCCCACTGGCTGAGCCTGAGCCTCCGTCTGGAGCCCAGGGCTGCGCTGCCGAGGCCAGGCCCTCAGCTATATTTAGCATCCAGCGTGGAGCAGGGCCATGGGTCAGGGGCGGTAAGAGGGGCACATGCTTCTCATTCTTTTCCGACGGGCTTCTGGGGGTTGTTAGTTCACCTGTCACAAGACAGATAAGACACAGAGGACAGAGACCAGAGAAGGGCTGGAAGGGTGGGAGGCCGTGAAGGGGGGCAGGGGTGAGCTGGAGGGGAAGGGTGTGGGAACGCCATGGTGGAACCTGGTTGACATGGGCAGAGAAAGAAGAGGACCCCGGAGTGGATACTGGCTCATTGCACACAGTTGGGACCAAGTCTCCATGAGCAAGGGGCAGGGCGGTCTCTGCAGAGGGTCCCACTGCCCACCTCCCCTGTAGGTGTCACCCTCACTGTTCTAAGGGTGTCTGCTGGGGAACAGAGGGGCATCACAGCCGACAGGAAAGTTTTACACCCCCTACCCTCTAATCTCTTGGGAGCCAGGCCTCAAAAGGGTCCAGGAACCCTAGGCCAGCACTGCCTGTTATTCATTCACCAAGATCTGACCCTTTCTGGGCCTCAGTTTCCTCATCTTTAATTATGAAAGGTTGGGTCTGAAGGCCCTCGGGATTTCCCTGGCTCAGACCTCTGAGTCTTGGGTATAGCACAGAAACCCCTACCTGGGATTCAGGATCTGGCTCTGCCTAACCATGAGATACCTGGTGAGCCTCTAACTGCTTCCGCTGGAGCATGGGCTGTGGGCCCCCTGGGCCTGGGAAAGGGTGGACAGTGAGTAGAAAGCCTAGGTGGAAGTTGGGCAAGACTCTCAGTGAACGTGGCAAGCGCGCCCTCTGGTGTTATGGGAGAGAATTTCTTCTCTATGGGAAATACCTAGGCACTTGTTTAGGGACCTGCCTCTTCCTCTCTGGGATCCCATAAGTCAGGATTTCCTCAGGCCACTCCCCTGGGACTCCGCCAGAAAAAACTGATTTTGGTAAAGGAAGGTGAGAATGGGGCCTGTCCAGTTAGCCAGCTGGAGGCCTGAACATCCTTTGTGGGGCTGAAGGACAGCAATGTCTTAGCCAGCAATGTCTTGCTTGCTCAGGTGATTGAATCTTGGGAAGCCTGGACCCATCTTAGTAAGATGGGTCCATATGCCCTAAGTTTAAGATTGGTCACACACTTGCCGAAACCGGTTTGGCTCAGTGGATAGAGCATCGGCCTGCGGACTGAAAGGTCCCAGGTTCGATTCCGGTCAAAGGCATGTACCTTGGTTGCGGGCACATCCCCAGTAGGGGGATCGATGTTTCTAACACTCTGTTGATGTTTCTAACTCTATCCTTCTCCCTTCCTCTCTGTAAAAAAAATCAATAAAATATATTATTTTTTTTAAAAAGATTGGTCACACGCCAAGCATGCAGGTGGCAGAGTGAGACCCAAGAGAAGTCTGGGAGAGGCCATGTCACCACAGCCCTACTCTGACCTGCTGTGGCGACATGGCCTCCTGCTCCCTCCCATTTCCCGCCAGCAACCAGCCCCCCTCCCACCTAAGGCCCCAGCCCATCCTCACCTCTGCCCTTCTCTTCAGAAGGATGTCCAACACCCAGACGCAGGTGGCCCCCACACCCACCATCCCGATGGCCACGGCCCAGGACCTGCCCCTCCCTCCGCCGCCGCAGCCGCCGCGGGCCCCGGAGGACCTGCCGCTGCCCCCGCCCAAGGAGTCCTTCGCCAAGTTCCACCAGCAGCGGCAAGCCAACGAGCTGCGCCGCCTCTACAGGCACATCCACCCCGAGCTCCGCAAGAACCTGGCGGAGGCCGTGGCCGAGGACCTGGCCGAGGTCCTGGGCGCCGAGGAGCCCACCGAGGGGGACGTCCAGTGCATGCGCTGGATCTTCGAGAACTGGCGGCTGGACGCCATCGGGGACCACGAGAAGCCGGCAGCAGCCAGGGAGCCGGTGCCCAGCGGGGACGTCCAGGCCACCTCCCGCAGGTTTGAGGAGGGCTCCTTTGCCGGCGGCACGGGCCAGGAGCCCGCCGGACCCCCTCCGCCCTCGGGAGCGGACGTGCGTGCAGCCCGACGGCTGTTTGAGACGAAGCCGCTGGCCGAGCTCACGGGCCAGACCGAGGAGGCCCGGGCCCCGGAGGCGCCCGCCAAGGAGCCTGAGGCCAGTGGCGACGTGCAGGGCACTAGGATGCTCTTCGAGACGCGGCCCCTGGACCGCCTGGGCTCCCGGCCCTCCGCCCAGGAGAGTCCCCTGGAGCTGCGCTCGGAGATCCGGGAGCTGAAGGGCGACGTGAAGAAGACGGTGAGGCTGTTCCAGACGGAGCCGCTGTGCGCCATCCGGGACGCCGAAGGCGCCATCCACGAGGTCAAGGCCGTCTGCCGGGAGGAGATCCAGAGCCACGCGGTGAGGTCAGCTCGCTGGCTCTTCGAGACCCGACCTCTGGATGCCATCAATCGGGATCCCAGCCAGGTGCGGCTGATCCGGGGCATCTCCCTGGAGGAGGGGGCCCGGCCCGACGTCAGCGCGACCCGCTGGATCTTCGAGACGCAGCCCTTGGACGCCATCCGCGAGATCCTGGTGGACGAGAAGGACTTCCAGCCGTCCCCAGACCTTCTCCCCCCGGGTCCAGATGTCCGGCAGCAGCGGTACCTGTTTGAGACCCGAGCGCTGGACACCCTCAAGGGGGAGGAGGAGGCTGTGGCGGAGGCCCCGCCCAAAGAGGAAGTAGTCCCTGGGGACGTCCGCTCCACCCTGTGGCTGTTTGAGATGAAGCCCCAGGACACCCCCAGAGGCCAGGTCCAAGTGGGTCACCTGCAGCGGGTGGGCCCCGGGCAGGGAGAGGGGCTCATGTGTGCGCATCTGTCCAGTGACAGCTTCTCGGCACTATGCCTCCCTCCAAGCGCCCCCCAGAAGGATGGGGTGAAGGGGGACGTGAAGACTTTCAAGAACCTTTTTGAGACCCTTCCCCTGGACAGCATCGGGCAGGGTGAGCCTTCCACCCCCGGAAACGGGAGCGAAGTAGCAGGAACGGATTCCGCTGGGCAGGCCCAGGACACGGGGTCCCCGGTGTATGCCGTGCAGGACGGCAGAGGCCACCTCCACGCCCTGACCTCGGTCAGCAGAGAGCAGGTGGTCGGAGGCGATGTGCAGGGCTACCGGTGGATGTTTGAGACGCAGCCTCTGGACCAGCTGGGCCGAAGCCCCAGCACCATCGACGTGGTGCGGGGCATCACCCGGCAGGAAGTGGTGGCTGGAGACGTGAGCACCGCCCGGTGGCTCTTTGAAACCCAGCCCCTGGAGGTAATCCACCAGCGGGAGCGGCAGGAACGACAGGAAGAGGAAGGAAGGAGCCAGGCAGGGCCCCAGCCGGAGGCAGCCCCCAAGGGTGACGTGCAGACCATCCGGTGGTTGTTTGAGACGTGCCCGATGAGTGAGTTGGCAGAGAAGCAGGGGTCAGAGGCCACAGACTCCACAGCTAAGGCCGAGGCGCAGTCCTGCACCTGGATGTTCGTGCCCCAAACCCTGGACAGGCCAGAAGGCTCCAGGGACCAGCACCTGCAGGTTTGCCAGGTCCGGGCCGGAGAAGGACAGACAGACAGACATGTCTTTGAGATCGAGCCTCTGCGGGCGTCAGGCGGTCCCTGTGGAAGAGCACCTGTGCGATACTGCAGCCACGTGGAGATTCCTTCAGGGCAGGTGTCTCGTCAGAAGGAGGTGTTCCAGGGCCTGGATGCGGGCAAGAGGGAAGACCAGGGGTCAAGGGCAATCCCTGAGCCCATCCCTGTGGGCTCGGTGCACAAGTTCACCTGGCTCTTTGAGAATTGCCCCATGGGCTCCCTGGCAGCCGAGAGCATCCGTGGGGGCGACCTCCAGGAAGAGCAGCCAGTGGGCCCGTCAGGTTCGGTACCCAAGAGGCAGGAGACTGCGATCCAGGGGACCCTGCGGACTCTGCACGCCACGCCTGGCATCCTGCACCGTGGGGGCATCCTCATGGAGGCCCGAGGGCCAGGGGAGCTCTGCCTTGCCAAGTATGTGCTCCCGGGCCCAGGACAGGGGCCCCCCCACATATGGAAGGAGGAGCTGGTATCTAGCGAGCTTCCCAGGATTGTCCGCCTAGTGCTGAGCCGGCCAGACGTGGACCAGCAGGGGCTGCTGGTGCAGGAGGACCCCGCGGGCCATCTCCGGCTCAGGCCCATGAGGCTTCTAGGAGGCAGCGGGAATGTGGACGATCTGGACCCAGAGTTCCAGCAGTTGCTAGCATGTGGCTTGGGCACCTCCGTGGCGAGGACTGGGCTGGTGATGCAGGAGACAGAGCAGGGCCTGGTCTCACTGACTGCCTACTCCCTGCAGCCCTGGCTCAGCAGCAGGGCCCCCGAGAGGAGCAGTGTGCAGCTGCTGGCCAGCTGCATAGACAAAGGAGACCTGAGCGGCCTGCACAGCCTGCGGTGGGAGCCACCGGCTGACCCAGTTCCGGTGCCAGCCAGCGAGGAGGCCCAGCGGCTGCCTGCAACGGAGAGCATCATTCACGTGCCCCCACTGGACCCCAGCATGGAGATGGGGCACCTGAGAGGCCCAGGGGCCGCCCCTGGTACCCCACAGACCATTGCAAAGAGAAGCCTGCTGGCTGGCAAAGAAAAGCAAGAAGACTGTTGCGCTGGGCAGGAAGGGGCGGAAGCTTTGGGAAAGTCGAAAGGAGCATCGACGACATCACCAGGGCCCGGGGCAGCAGACCTCCAGGCCACCATGCAGGGTCTTCGGATGGCGACAGCGGAGGCTCAAAGCCTGCAACAGCAAGTGCTGAACAAGCCCAAGCAGGGCCCCACCCCTGGAGCTGTCTCCACACCCTTCCAGGATGGTCTTCCGCAAGCACTGGCCGCTGCCACTGGGACTGCTCAAAGCAACACCAGGCCCACGGCTGGAGGTGACCCCAGGATCCCAGCAGCCCCCAAAAAGGTCAGTGGGGAACAGAAAGTACTGCCCACGGGGCTGCCTGGGGGGCGGGTGACTATTCAGGACGGCGTCTACAATGCTCACCCCGTGAGGACCTGTGACCTACCTGGGAGTGTTCAGCCCTTTGAGAGGGAACACCCACCAAGGGGCGGGGAGACTGTCTGCTTGACCCAGGCTTCCAGCCCACTCCACGAATGCCCAGGTCAGAGTCTTGGGCAAAGCCGGGAAGAACCTGGGGGCTGCACACAGAGAGCCTGGGGGCCTCCAGAGAAAGCCATGGCCGAAGTCAGCCCCCAAGCTGCAGAGACCACCCTGAAGGCTGCCTCTTCAGCCCATTACACTCTGACCTCTGGGCCTCCAGCTGCAGGAGACGGCCTGCATTCCCATAATGCCTCTGATCCTCCTCCTCCTCTCCCAGCTGCTGTGACAGGACCTGACTTCCCGTCCCAAGCCCACCGCGATAAGGACTCCAGCCCTGCCGGCCAAACAAGCCCTGGGGAGTCACAAACAAAGACCCCAAATCTGGAGCCCACCTTCCCACCAAGAAAGAAGCCCCAGCTGCCCCCAAAACCTGCACACCTAGGCCAGATCCCCCCTCCTCAGAGGCTGCCCAAGCCCTCAGCTCCATCTCCCAGCTCCTCGCAAGGAAAATACAAACAGGGTGAGACAAAGGCAGCCACGCCTCCGCCAGCCAAGGTCCCCACCACTACAGGCCAGGGACATGCATCTCTGGCTGGATTCTCCAGTGGTCAGAGCCAGCCTGGCCCTCAGCATGGTCCCAGCACCATGGCCCCTGGGCCGACCAAGAGTCAGGCTATGGGCAGCAATGTCCAGAGCCCTGAGCCCCCCAAGGTCTCAGCTCTCAACAGTGACCCCACCTCACCACGGCACGGCCCCGGCACCCCAGGAGAGAAGCTGATGGAGTGTTCCCAGCAGGGGGCCCCTGAGAGCTGTGAGACTCAGCAGGGAAGCCCGCAAGAGCTCCAGAACCTCCTGAGCCAGGTGCAAGCCCTGGAGAAGGAGGCTGCGAGCAGCGTGGACGTGGGGGCGCTGAGGAGAATCTTTGAGGCTGTGCCCCAGCTAGAAGGGGCCCTTCAGGCTCCTGCTGCCCCCCATAAGCCTGAGGCCTCGATGGAGCAGGCCTTTGGGGAGCTGACGAGGGTCAGCATGGAGCTCTCCCGGCTGAAGAAACAGACCCTGACCAGGCTGCTGAGCATCGAGGAAGCTGTGCACAAGGCCCTCAGCAAAATGTCCGGCCTCCAGCCCGAGGCTAACACCCGGGGCTATCCCCAAGGTCCCCTAGAGGACCACGGTGCCTACAAGGTCAGTGTCATGGACAGCAGTGGAGCCAGGCCCAACTGCTCAGGGGAGAAAGTCAGGGGTCAAACTGCACCTAGGAGCCAACCTGAGGTTACGTGCCACACTGAGGTCCAGAGTCAAGCCAAGGTCAAAAGTCACACAGAGACCAGAGGTCCAGCAGACTCACCCGCGCCTTCCACCAGGAGGATGGAGACACTGAGAGAAGATGCAGGCATCCCTCCAGTCTCGCCTTCTAGCAGAGATGCATCCTCCTCCCCAACCTTCATCTCCTTTAAGTCAGCCGCAAGGAAACTTCCAGAGGCTCCCAGCCCCGGGGGCAGCCCAGCTGTCTCAGTGCAAAGCACACACCTGGCCCAGGATGTGAGCCAGGCCCCCCTCCACCAGAAAGGTATCCGGGCCAAGGCCGGGGAAATAGAGGTCACCCAGGGCTCTGGACAGCCCGGGCCTACCCTTGCCTCAGCCGGCACCCTGCCAGGGGCCCAGAAGAGTGTCCTGGAGCTCCAGACTGGGCCTGGGGGCTCCCAGCGCTGGGAAGCCATGAGAACTGGGACTGAGCAGTACACGGAGGCGGGCCAGTGCGGGAACGCCCTCCTCACACCTTCCACTATGGCCACGGAGCAGGCAGAGCCCTCGGGGGGCCCAGGTCCCCACCTCGGGCTCCAGGCCTCCCCCTTGCTAAAGCCGTTCCTGCACAGCCCGGCCGAGCTGAGCGGCCACTCCCAGTCTGCAGCCCAGTGAGCCCCTCCGCCTCCCACCTGCCCTGGGAACTGAGGTGGGTGCCTCCGACCTGCACACAGGATGGCAGGAGGAAAGGGCCTCTCTCGTCAGCTCCCTCAATAAGGCCCCGTTCTTGCAAAGGGAGAAAGATTGGGAAAAGGCCCACGGAGCGGCTGGGCCCAGGTGTAGGATGGGGGCTCGCGCTGTTTGTGGAGGTGATGTGAGCAGACACCTCACACAGGACTGGCCGGCACGCTGACATCCATGAGTCTGCACGCCACTGCTCCAGCCGGAGTCCCCGGAGTGACCTGCCACCCTCAGCCTTTATTTCTATTAGGAGTCGAAATGTTCTCAGCCATCTGTGCCTTAAGTCCCGGAGGGGACAGGGTCAACTAGACGCTGGATGGGGCTGTGTTCGGGATCAGGCTGAGGGCTCCCGAAGGGCCCTGCTGCAGCCCTCCGTCACCATCTCCACGGGTCAGAGGGTCATCCCGGCAGCCCAAAGGGCATAGACAATGTCGCCAATCAGTGATGCCCCTAGAAGCCAAAGGTTCTGCGTTCCCACCCCCACTGCCCCTCACTCGGCACCCAAATGGGAAGGAAACAGTCTGAATAAACCCAAGTTTTATTTTCTCTGCTGCATGTGTCTGACTATTTGTGCATCTGGGTCCCCACTGTGAGGGGAAATAGCCACAACCTCCAGGTGCCCCATTTCCCTGGCAACAGCAGTGCTGGAAGCCACTCTTCTTCTACCATCTTGGCTGGTACCCACGAAAGCCTGCCCACACCCCTGTTCTCCTCACTCCTCTCGCCCCCCCCCCCACACATACACACATACACACATACACGCAATGCTGACCCTCTACCTCTGGCCTCCCCCTGGTGGTTCTTGGACATCCTCCTGGATGGCAGCTGACCAGATGCTGCTCCAGAGTGGCAGCGTGGCCCGGTCAGGCCTGGAAAGGAGGGAGAGCCTCATGCCAGGAGAACTCCATGCCAGGAGAAGCCAGAGGGATTCGGTGAATACCTGCTGCCCGCAAGGCCTGTCCAGCAGCAGGTGAGTTCCAATGGGCCCTGCTCACAAGGTACTGACTTTCCAGAATGAGCACACAGAGCCCATGGATAGGAAACACTGGGTCAGAGCAACGCACCTGACTGGGCCGCTCTCCCATTCTGGGGCGGAGGTCTTAGAATATAACAATGTGACATTGATAGGTGGTTGCCTTAGAGGCCTTGGCCAAGACAGACCTCTCTAATGAAATCAATCAATCAATCAATCAATCAATCAGTCAAACACAGCAACAACAACAATACCACACACACACACACCCTAGGATCTGAAGAGTAAAATGCCAGTTATGTGAGAATCAGGGGGAGCTGCATGCTAGGCAGAGGGAAGAGAACATGCAAAAACCCAGCGGTGGGGAGCTCGTTGCTGGATTTCCTGGAGAGCCCTCTGCAGGAAGGGGCTTTAACAGCTATGATTGTCTGCCACCCCCAATCTGGCCCCTCCAAGGTTATGTGGGAACCTGCACTTGAACAGGCAGGCTCCTGTCCTACCTCCAGCAGCCAAGGGCTCAGCCCTCCATGCGCTCACAGTCTGCTCGTTGCCTGCTGTGCTGATATGGGGGCTCCCCCAGGGCAGCGGAATTCTGACCTGGAAGGAGCCGGTCACTGGTGGGAAACCGCTGTAGGGGAGCAGTAAGACACCAAATCTACCCGCCTGAGCCTGATGCCCACCTCTCCACGGGCCCCTTGGCACCCGTCTCCCTCTCATGTCCTCTGTGGCATCTCACCTGGTTGTAGGGCCCAGCATCTTTTAGGGTGGCTGTTCTCAGCGCCTCCCCTCTAAAGTGGGCACAGTGATAGGAGCTACTATTGTGAAGATGACGTGAATTAATTATGTTCACGTTTAACATTGTCATGATATGCTTCAACATATCTCTTCTCACCTCCAGGTGGAGTCCCTGTCTTGCTCATCTCAGTATCTCTAGCGCTCATCACCAGAGTGCCTAGAAGGCACCGCGTGAATGTCAAATCAATGAACACACAGATGAATGAAGTGATGACGTGCGTTCACCGATTCATCCGAATAACATTTATTGAGCATCTACTTCATGCTGGATTCCCCTTCAGGGTGCTAAGAACAGAGAGAGAGAGAGAATTTATCCCTAACTAACCTCCTGGAGCGTAGGTTTCAAGAGGGCAGACACTGTAGTATAAGCGGATCGGATGGTTTTAGAGGAGAGCGATGACACTGTGAAAGGAAATAAAAAGCCGGGTGGGCCAGGAGAAGAGGGTGGCAGTCACTTAGTTGGGGTGGTGGGAGAAGGAAGGCAGAAGAGCCGGTCCTCGCGGCTGGAGGCGGCGGCGGCGGGGGGATGGGGGAAGAGAGGTGTGGGGAGGGAGGGAGGGATGAGTGGTGATCACGTGGGCGGCTGCGTGCACCCAGGACAGCGGAGGCCGCCCGGGGAGGCCTCGCCCAGCCCCCTGCACACCTGCCGCCACACCTGCCGCCGCCGCCTGGGCCCCGCCACTCCCCTCCCCTCCCAAAGGCGGTGCACAACCCGCCCAGGCCCCGCCCCGAGCCCGGGGAGGGGGGTGCATGCTCACCCGCGGTCGCCAAGGTGACGATGACGTCACCAGGCCACCGGGTTCGGAATGTTCGGGCGGCGGCGGTTGCCCGGAGACGCTGGCCGGCGCGCCGCCAGGGGCTGGCTCCCAGGCAGACTCCGGACGCCAGTACGCGCTGTCCCGGCCCGCCTGGCTCTGGGCCTCCCTCCCTCCCTCTGTGATTCCAGAGGGATGCCGGTTCCGGTCCTCACCCACGGTCGCGGCTCCGCCCGGGACCCACCTCCCTTCCCAGCCCCTGCCTGTGGCCCGAGTTTGTCTGCCAGCCCCATGGGCACTGCCACCATCCTCCTGTCTCAGGCACCATCCTCATCCCCTGGTCCGCCGACCACCGCCGTAACCTCTTACTGGGAAGTGGTCTTTCCTTCCTTCACCCTGTCTGTCCTTGCATGCTGTCATCCACGTGCCAGGCAGCCAAAGCTCTGACCAAGCGCTTAGCAGACCAAGTGGCTCCTGTATAACACCTCCCTCCACTGGCTTCCCAGCACACCAGCCTGAAATCTAACTTTTTTTTTCTCCTATATTGTATTGATTTTTTTTTTGATTTTTTTTTATTTTATTTATTTATTTATTTATTTTTTACAGAAAGGAAGGAAGAGAGATAGAAAGTTAGAAACATCGATGAGAGAGAAACATCGACCAGCTGCCTCCTGCACACTCCCTACTGGGGATGTGCCCACAACCAAGGTACATGCCCTTGACCGGAATCGAACCTGGGAACTTTCAGTCCGTAGGCCGATGCTCTATCCACTGAGCCAAACCGGTTTTGGCAAATCTAACTTCTTAGGCCCCTGGGAGAGCAGAATGACTTGCCTCTGTCTTACTCTCCATTTCATTGCCCCCACTCTCCTCCTCACCCACACCCCCCTAGTGACACTGGCCTTTTTGACCTTCACAGAACACACCAAGCTTATTCCTGCCTCAGGGCCTTTGCACATGCTGTGCCATCTACCCCGAAGGCTCTTCTCTCAGATCTTTAGTGACTGGACTCCAGTTCAAATGTCTCTCCAGAAAGGCCTTTCCTGATCCATATTTCCCCTACCTCCCCCTCCTACCCCTTTCCTGTCCCCCATTTTAAGGAGGCTTTCCCCCAAATCATCACACTGCAATATGTTTTCCTGAGGACCCGTCATCACAATATAACATTATCCTGCTTATGTACTTGCTTATTGTCGGTGTTCTTCAGACTACTCCTGCATAGCAAACCACCTCACATTCAGTGGCTTAAATAACAACCATTTTATAATGCTCATGAATTCCGTAGCTCAGGAATTTGGACAAAGCACAGTGGGATGGCTTGTCTCTCTGCCACGATGTGTGTGGGGCCGCAGCTGGGAAGTCTCCAAGGCGGGAGTGATTGGACAGCGAGGGGCTGGGAACATCTGAAGATTCACTCGCTCACATGTCTGGCAGTTGATGCTGGCCGTTGGCTGGGACCTCAGCCGGGATGTCAGCCAGGACACACATGCACGGTCTCTCCATGTGACCAGGGCCGCCTCCCAGCATGGCAGGCTCGGGGTAGTAGGACTTCCTGCATCTCAAGGCTCCTGAGGCATGTCTGTGTCCCAGCGAACGAGGCAGAAGCTGCATTGCCTTTTATGACCTAGCCTCCGAAGTCACACAGAATCACTTCTGCCGCCTTCTGTTGGCTACACATGAGTCACCCGTCTGCCTAGACGGAATGGAAAGGATACTAGACACCACCTTCTGATGAGGAAGAGGCAGAGTTCCAGAAGACGTGTGGCCGTCTTTGCAAAGTGCCACCTACTCAGTCAAGTCTTCCCCCACTAGAATATCATCTCCATGCAAACACTTCCCATCTGCTTATTGCTGCAGCCCCAGTGCCTGGCGCGGTGCAAAAGCATACAGTAGGTGCTCAATCCACGTTTTAGAATGAATAAATAAAGGTTTTTCTTTCAAAGAGTCATTTGAGCGCTGCTCTTCTCCCTCTGAGTGTATTTACTGCTCCAGTCCTTGCTTTGGGCCTGGTCTGCTCCGGAGGAAGCCCCGTGCTTGCACTAGAAGGTAACTGTAGCTTTTGTGTTGTTTTGTTTCTGGTTGGGGAGTGGGCGGGGGTTGGGAGAGGGGGGGGGGGCGGCACAGGGAGTGGAGTTACTGGGGATTGAGAAATGTGTAGCCGGAGAGGTTCTGGAACAGTGTTCTACTTGTAAGGGATGTTGAAAACCCAGTCTGTTTTTTTTGCATTCTGAACCCTTGACATGCCCAGGAGAGGACTGTGGTTTTGCCCGCCAGGCCATGGGGTGCCGAAAAGTGGCCCAATGGGAATGGAGCTTTGGAGGGGTACCTCCAGCAGCGGGGTTGGGGATGGTGGTGGTGGTGGTGGGAGTGTGTGTGTGATGCCTCAGGAGCCACCGCAGAGCCCACAGGCCTATAAGGATGCACAGAGTCTCCCTGCGGTGCTATGAGTGCAGGGCCTTCCACGTGTTCTTCCCAAAGCCGTGAGGCACATCCAGTTTCTCTCCTTTTCTCCTTTTCCACGAGGGGTGTGGGCAGAGGGGCAAGCCCAGCTGTGTCCCTGTCCCCCCCCCCCCAATGTTCTCCCCACTCCTAGTGCCGCCCCAAACTGTCAGTCCTCCAGCCCTGCCCCACAGCAGCTCCCCACCACCTCTCCCGTGGAACCCACACTCCTCAGATCGCCAGGCAAAGCCCTGGTGCAGCTGCTTCCTGCCTCTCTCCACCTCTCTCCCGTGAGAACCTGCCTTCTAGGTGCGTTCCCTACGGGCTGGCTTTGCCTAGGGCCAGCTTA